ACACGCACACACACACACACGCACACACACACACGCACACACACACGCACACACACTCGCACACGCACACGCACACGCACACACACACACACACACACACACGCACACACGCACACACGCACACACGCACACACGCACACACGCACAGGAGACGGGACACCGCGCACGCCAATCGATCGCCACGTATCCATTGGCAACGCTGCCCACGCGGGCGCTTGTTTATCATGGCCAAGTGTGCGTTAACGATTCGGTAATTTTCGGCGATGAGAGGCGACATCGGCATAATGGATAATACACGAGGCGTAGGTGAGTAATGACAGGGACAGGAAATAGATTTGTAGTCGCGAAGGCGTCGAGGCAACGACAATTTGCAGATTCAGGGCCATAGTTGCCTTCCATTACCTGCCCTTACGTTGAGAATTTGAAGTCTAGAAGCTAGAACTAGAACACTTAGGATAATAAGGGCAATTCCTCCCTCACAGACGAACCTCGATTTTGCTATCACAAGCCAAAATTTTAACATTATGCACGGTGGACTTCGTCCGTAGATTGCATTCGAATGCGCGACATAAAGCGACATCACGCTTCCCCTTACTCCACAACAAAAATATTAAACGATACAATTAAGAACATTACATAATTTGTGTAAATTATTGCACATCTTTAATTTAATTACCATTTAACTGTTTCTGTATAAGGTAAGCCTTATAAGTAATTATTAATAATTAAGGAGAAATGGTCAATTATTTTTAAATAATACATTTAACATTGCTTAAAATTAAGCAATTATATATATAAAAATGATTTCCTATTTCACTTGTTCACGCCATCACGCGTGAACGGCTGGACCGATTTGGCTAATTTGGGTTTTTTGAAATATTTGTGGCAGTCCAGGGAAGGTTTAAACAATGAGAAATTATGGAAAAATTGCATGGAAAATCGGAATAGCAACAATTTTATTTTCCCATACAAACTGTACCTGTTAACCTGTCAAATATGTCTGTGTGACCTGTCAAACACTTTATGCGTGCGTTCCGAAAATTCTCTTTCTATGTGTTCAGGTTGACAAATTCCCTCGAAATAATTAATATGGCAAAACAACGTTTGCCGGGCCAGATAGTTACCTATATTAAGAGGTAGCAAATAGAATGCAAGAAGGAATACAAGTTACAGGCAGAAAGCGATTCCGTCGAAAGCCTCCCCCCCGCCCATTTAGTCACTAGTCACGGATGGATAATAAATACGCCTGTCCGTGTATATATAAAAAACAAACTTAACGGTGGTAGGGCCACGCAGCAGCCTCGGCTGTTGCACGAATGGGCAGGCCCGTCCGGGTCAGTACCACGACCTCGCAGAAGACCGGCGTAAAGTGGGAGTATGATACTTTTGCGTTTCGTGTGGTGAGTGAGGTAGCCGGAGCCCAATTTTCAAAAGGTTGTCAACGCATCTACAACCCTCGGGTGTAGCGGATGTCCATAGGCGGCGGTATTCACTTAACATCAGGTGAACCGTCTGCTGGCTTGGCAAGTTTTCACATAAAAAAAAATTCCTTCGCGCGGTCCCAAATTTCAGAAAATCCACAGGATAAACACTATAGCAACAATTGGCCAATCGCATTGCGCCCCGTCCCCGTCCCGTGTGCCCCGGACTAATGTCAAAATGGTCGAGGGTGTTCCGTTCAAGGCCCACGAAAAAAAAAAACAAGGCGGGCCACCAACGCAAGTCAGAAACTAATTATTGGGGATATGATTTCCGTTGAGCATCAGAATTGCGTCGCACAAATTACATTTTCACGCTACCCCGCGTCCGCTCGACCGCCATCCCCTTTAAATATCGAAATAACCGAACGCGGTAAATACGTAGTCTCCCGCCTCAACAGTGAGCGGAAGAGAGGGGGGGGGGGACACTATGGAAAGGGGGCAGTGAAGGCGGTGGGGGATTGGAGGAAGGGGGGTGCTAGACATCATTTGACATTACTGTCCCAACATTAATTTCAACAAGAGGTTGTTGTATCGGTCTGTGGTGAATATGACCCTGAAGATGTGTGCTCTAGTTGCATATCGTCGTTTGTTGCACAATTATATTGGCTATCGCTATGCATGAGAAGCTTTGGGAAAATCCGAGAGGTTTTGGGCGCTGCGGCTTGAACTGGCTATCACATGGCAACCGTACCATCATTTTTAAAATACCTCTTGAGTGGTATTAGGAGGGTGGTCGAATTGCCCGCTCCACTCGAGCGGGCAATTCGTCGTTGCGATCGTAGATCTCGGCAATGGTTGAGTGACAACATGTACCTAAGTTGGCCCTTTCCTGCGATTCACCACCCCATCAGTATTGCATCTCTACCGAGATAGATAATGGAAAGAGTCTTAAGGCAACTGTCGGATGGAAAAGCGTAGTCGTAGTATAAACTTTTAATGATATTTTAATTTTAAATATTTAAGGACACATTTTTACACAACATTTTCTAGTCCCAAACTAAGCAACGCTTGTACTATGGGTACTAGAAAACTGATAAACATACTTAAACATACTTTTCGTTTGTAAATAAATACATATTATACATATATAAATACCCACACTAGAAAAACACTATGTTTATCACACAATATTTTACCAGTAGTGGGGATCAAACCCACCCTCTGGTGCAGGAGGCAGGTACACTACCTACACTACGCCATTCGGGTCGTATTCATATCATTCCTGCTGTATTTATTTTCTATATCCTGTTATCAATACCAAGCTATCGACTCAATTTGTTTCGTTGGCCATTTGTCTCACGAATGAACTTCGAGAAATCGACAAGCGGAATATAAAACGGCGAATGTTTTGAACGAATTAAATTTTCATTTTTCGCATAGCTCCATAAAGCAATATATGTATATTATTTAAAAACAAAAATGCGAATACAAATCTGAAGTGAATCATGCGTTCACGTTTCATGAGACCAAAACATTGAACGCCATTTTACACCTCTATTTTTAGCGATAAAATCTGACATGTAATAGTGCTTGATAGCGTATAAATCAAATATCATCAATTATTTAATTTTCAATATAATCATCTAGGTAAAACTGTCACTAGCCCAATTTAATAATCGACGCACTTATCTAGAATTTATGTACATTAAAAACTCCGTTTCCATTAATCCGCTCCCCCGCCGTCAAACGCCGTAAAAGCAAAAGGAAAGCGCAAAAACACATCCGTAAGCTTCAAAGGGACTTGCAAAAAGCAACACGAAATTTCCACTCCGACACTGAGCAAACAGATTATTCAAATATGGTGGATATTCCTGACAGGGAAAAAATACGGCACGGGACGAGATTATGTGGGCCGTTATATCGGTGTCGAACAATCAACTCCCAAAATGGCGCGTATCGTTGCCATTTCGCTCGCGGGCCGCCATTGTGCCCCGTAATCACAAAGAGTGGGCCCACATACACGCGATTCGCGCATTTCAGGCCCTAGGACGCTATAATCGCATAGAAACTGCTTGCTGCCCAAAGGAACTGCTTGCTCCACTTTCCAAAACACGTGCACAGTTTTAACTTAATACATCGGCACACTATCGTCTACTTATGTGACAACTACAGAGTTACAGTGTCCACTTTTACATCTTATATCGCCGTGTAACTATGTATACGACTTGTATTGACTTAAGTTGAAATTTTTTAACATAACAAGGAACAAATTCGGACATTTTCGTGAGCTATTGTCCTGAAACGTCCAGCCTAAACATTGTCCGGTCGACGGATAGGTGTCAGCATTGTCGCGATGATGGATAATTTAAAATGTACTAATTTTCAGACAAAGCGATGCAAATAACACCCCAAACAACTTGATTCCAATCGTTGTTAATGGCTAGACTTGCTTGTCACGTCATCCATATGTCCATAGATACGCCACCGCCGCGCCCCCTTTGTAAGCAGAGCGCCTAACATAAGACCAAAATTAAAACGCAATAATGTATGTACTTTGAAACTAGTAATCATAGCGTTGCTGTGCGCTAAGGCCTAGGTTACCCCTCGTGCGGTTTTAATAAGCCCAATTATTATATTTCATGATCGGATATAGAAATCATTACATACAGTCTTTCAATTGCTCAAGAATATCTTCATTCGGCAACGATAGTTTCTTTGAGCCTACAAATCCGCGAGGGCAAATAGAGACTCAGCTGTTGATTGTGAGAGACTAATGATTTGTGATAAGTTCAGTGCACTTAAATGGTTAAGTTCTATATAGATGGCGTCCGTAAAATACAAAATAATTTAAGAAGAACACAAAAAAGAAAGCACGGCAATACACTATCTAGAAAACGTTGCCCCAATGATGTTGCCACCCTGACGCGAAGTACCCGCCAATACCGGCAGCACGCAATTCGTTTGTTCATTCAGGAAACACAATCCTGCACTCAGCGGTGACGAATGAGTACACCCGTCCACACTACCGATACCATTGTCAGAACTTATTTTTTTTATATAGGATATATATAAAACTAGCTGACCTGGCAAACCTGGCTGTCATGCCAATTTTTTGCGAAGAAAAATGTTTGGGGTGGACCACCATTATCACTTATGGGTACGAAAAATAGATGACGACCGATTCTCAGGCCTACCAAATAATACGCATAAAATTTCATAAAGAACAAAGCATCGTGACACAAGAATTTGATATACATATTTATTATACAGATACAGCGTGGTTATACTGACTTCTGGCACCATGGCATTTTGGCAAGGTTCAAAGGCTTGAACGTATCGCTAGAATTTTCAATGTGATTAATCATGGCTCACTCTGCCATGATTTTGAACAAATCATAGCAAAACTTGTGACACTTCTCTCCTCTGGTTTTGCTAATGTCCCCGTCCGCAGCGGCGGCGAGCACTTAGCACCAGCTCGGCTCACCTGCTCGGTTGCCTCCACATTTATCCAGGATAAAAGAGGAATATCGTCAACACAACATGCGTTCATTCTAACGCCGGGGGCATGTTGCGCTCACAATGCCCTTGAAACGTTCACACGCGCGACAGATGCGCGTGCTATTGTTACACGCGCTATCGAAAACAGAGTGTCTGCAGTGGCGAATCCCCCCGCCAACCCCTAGCGGTCCCCTGCACCGGACCATTGTGCTGCGAAGGGAACCGCAGTTGAATTTCCAAAAGCGCCGCCTCCCCGCACAATGGGGACCCCCGGACAAATCGCGCCTTAGATAGATATAAGCAGCAGATGAGAACGACATCCAGCTGCCAGCCCTTAGCGATTATGCTTCGCCGATTTCAGGCCACCTTGTACTGTGCTGCAGGGCCACCGCATCAGCTTGCGCCTTTGGGCAGTCCCGTCCGGGTCTCGTCGTTCACACCACGGCCTGATAAAAGATCGGCTCGAAGTGAATATAATGCATTATCGCGTTTCGTCTGCTGAGTGAGGTTAAACGGGGCCCCGATTTTTTTTAAGTTGTCAACGTATCTAAAAAGCCCTCACGCGTTTTATATGTTCATGGAATGTATTCACTTGTATTCAATATTCACTCCTATTGTACTAACAACATTCACAAGACCTATTCTGCACTGAAAATTGTAAAACAAAAGCTGGGCAGCGGGCACTACACTAATGCTAGATACGTATACTCTAAACTCTAAATTTATAGATTGTGATTTCTTTTCCCTTTCACTACTTCAGTGTGAAAGAAGTCACATTAAGTCATCATAAGTGAATTAGGCTAGTTTTATTTTGCATAATATTACATGTATTTTGTGGACAGGTTGGTTGGTGGTTATGCGTTTAGTAAAATTTGTCAAAATTTTTATGTGTCTGTTTTATATCCCGATAAACATTAAAATAAAAATAAACATCAGGTGAACCGCAAGTTCGATTGACAACCCTTCACATCAAATAAAGTTTCAAGCGGTGTTCGGCACGGGTACATGGCAGCCGAGCCTTTATACCGTAGTGTATTCGTCTCATGTTCAAGACTAAAAATGACATCTAGTGTCGTGTGTCCTAGCAGGCGGGAAAAGAAGCCCGCGTCCCATTTCCCGTTAACAGCGTCGGCGCGCCGTCGTCTCTCGCCAAAGCTTTTGTATAATATATTGACGCGCCAAGATGGAGTACAGACTGGCACCGGTAGTCGCGAGAGCTCGTTACGCCTAAGTTGCTGTTTTCGTGTTATTACGACAACAATGGTGTGTAATAACATACAATAACTAATAAGTCGGCAATCTCCAATCTCCAGTCGCAAGTTGTGATTTAATTTAAGGCTACTCGAAACTCACCCACGAAAATATTGTTTACAAAACCGAAAAAGTTTCAACTTTTAGTTACAATTTACAAATTGTGGACATTTTGACAATTATGGATATATATATGTTATGAGCCTCTCAAGACCGCTAATAGGAGTGCCGCATATTAGCAATCTTAAACACCAATCCTTATGACGGGTAGTTGCGGTTTTCCTTCCAGTCTTTCCTTTTAGGATGATGATTCTTTAAAAATCATGATAGAATCAGTTGCGGATTTATATATTTGCCGCCAATAGGCTGTTAAATTTTTTTCGCCCCTACTAATCTCTGGAATTCCATACCCTGCAAGTCTGCAATCATATTGATTACATTTACGCTATCAATATAATTGCCAAATTTACGATTTGTGGTCTACTGTTCTCATTATACATCAGTTTTTTTTCTCGCCTTTAGCATGATTGAGAGTTTTCGTTGTGCCAGTTCATAGATTATATTTACAACCCACGGTTTAGTAAAGATTACACGAAAACTTGTTTTTTGAGTAAATTCCTGCGTTAAAATGCTCAGTCAGCTCTGTTCTAATTACAAGGCGGAGTAACGTACATGCTTTGAAAATACTTAGATCAATTAATGAACAAGGCTAACAAAATAATTATCATATAATAAACTTTATTTTTTTTATTACACTTAGTTATGAAAATAATACTAATAGTATCTCTATTAAATTTTCTGTTAACCACCCGGTTAATAATGACAATAAAATTAATCAAGTTATGAAAGTCTTACATCGTTAAATTTTAAAGACACGTTTTCTCTATGTATATAATGATGTTTTTCTGTTTTTCATGTTTTTCATGTTTTTCTGATTTTACCTATATAGTATACTAGCGACCTGCCCCCGCTTCGCACGGGTGCAATATAATTATAAATATTCAGTGCTCTTGAAACAGTATCTAGTAAAAAAGAAACCGTTTCGAGATCCGTTGCGTAGTTTTAAAGATCTAAGCATACATAAGGATAGGCAGACAGCGGGACGACTTTGTTTTATACTATGTAATGAAGGTATGCTGAATGATGTTTTTATTTATTTATGTACTCCTCAATGAAAATAAACAGCTATAAATTAAACTTACACAAATGCTAAAAAACAATTTTCATCGGGGTGGCAATCAGCCGTTTAGTTTAGTGGCTAAAGCGTCAGGCCGCGAATGCCGAAGACGTGGGTTCGATTCCCATAGCGCCGATAATCTTTTCGTACTTTTCCGCAAATTTTATTGTTAAACTAACCCACAATAAAAATACAGTCTAAAACCTGTAAGCCATTAAAGTTTCCACCAGACGTAAATCCATATAATAGAACAGGGTAGATGATATAGTATATAATAGAACTTGTTTTATTTAAATCAATTAGTGGTCGCCTAGTAGTCGAAATTCGACCATATTTAATTAAACATGGTAGTGTATTTTTTTTTTAATTTAATGTATATGCATTTTTTTTAATAAACTAAAGTGTGGGATATTTCATATTCTTCCGTCCACGTACTTTTCGTAAAAAGAGGTACAAATTTTTTTCTACACGTAACTTTAAATGAAAGCATTACAATGACACTAATTATAACAAAAGCTCTTAGATGAAATAAATTATGTATATTATGATTAAAACTATTGTTAAAATTTTGACAAACACGATTAATAAAAGTTTCTTGTTTGCGGCCCTCTGTTACATATATAATTAAATTTAGAGGAGAGACATGCAGAACGAACCTCGTTGAGAATAATAAAATTATCCCTTACAACTATAATGGCTAAGGTAGGAAGTTTGTAATTTCTGTGTTACTACGTTACGCCACATGATTATTTACTTGTTTTTTGTTCTTGTTTTGAATGTGATAGGTCTACGCAACAGTCCTGCGCTGTTGCACAAATGGCCATGGTCGTCGGGGTAAGTAGAACCTCACAGAAGGAGCTTCTGTGAAGTTCTACTCACCCCGAGTATTTAACCTTAATTGTAAGTAACCTGTGAGGTTAGGAGGTAGACTGACGAAGTCCAAGTGTTAACGCAACGCATCAGCAACCCTACAGGTGTTGGAAATATATATGGGCCACTGTCATGTAACATCAGGTGAACCGCCGAATCGCTTGCTATCTTCTCGCATAAAAAAATATCTTTCAGCAAGGGTTGTGCGTTTCGATATAAATCGTTTTAGTTGGTACTTTTTACAGTATCTTTGTTAGGTAAGCCTCAAAAGAGGGCACATTTGATTACAAAGAAAACAATAAATTTTCTCAAAATAAGTGAAGTGAAAATTGCGATTTCCACGCTCGTCGTACGGAAGTGGGCCGCGTCGCAAGCATTTTGACAGCCGAGGCATTCATCCGGATCGACAAGCGGTGGGCGAGCAAAGCCTAAAAGGGGCGCCGTGTCAAGCAGGGGCGGGACCACTCGTCGACTTGAGCGTCGACGCTACACTCGTAATATTGTTTAACAAACCTATTTTAAAAACTATAGGTTGTGCACCATTTTCAGGAATATTTAGGCTAAATTGCCAGTCGCTAGCCGTAGATAAATACCAAACGATCTATGGTTTAGGTAAATAGCTTGCCTATTATTTGTGCTATAATTTGTCATTTGTCTCCTTTTTCTCATCCTCTGAAACATTTAACTTCCCTCACGAGATGAGACAAGTGAAGTCCATTACAGAACGTGACCTTGGACAGAACAGAATACCGTTGTAAAGTTGAGAAAAATACAAGAGGCGAATAATCCAGTAGTTCTTAAAATTCCTACTTCTGACCTTTTTCTCTCTTTAATAGGTTGATGAACAGTAAGATCGGGAAACGTAATATATAAAAACAAATCATTTATTTTCTATTGGGTTGCCATGAAACTTCGGACGCTTTCTTTATTAGCTAAAGGGAAAAAAAGGAGACTGCTACAGTGCGTCATCCGCGTTAGTCAAGTGACGAAAGCAGGACCAATTTTTCATTTGATCAACGCTCCATTTATTCCGCCTAATCTACAAGTCGTTATGAAAGTTACGAAGCTATGTAGCCAACGGCCGTCCGTTGAATACAGGAACCGGGGGCATTAGAGCCGATCAAACGCGTTACCATTTCACACACCGGCCCGTTGCCGTTGCCGGGACGCTATACGTACACCGGTATCAGACGGATGGACCCTCAATCAATGGCGGAAAGGGAGCCCGGGCGTGGAGGGTGCGCCGCAACCCGAGCTCGAATTAATATTTCCCGGAATGGAGCTGACCGTTTAGACGAGCGCACCACGTGAAGAGTGCGCGCGGCGAGAGCAATTGGAAATTCAGATGAGATTTCAACGTGCAATTATGTTGATGTTTAACGTCCTATTATTCAACCTTATTGATCTCAGTCGACGGTTTGCTTAAAATAATCTCAATTAAGCATGTAAGCGTCGCGTAAAGAAAATAGTTTTGTAAAGTTCTGCGCTATAGGCAGCTTAAATTATAAATAAAACTAAATTTATTAATATGTATAAACTCATGTATAAACCATAGACTGTCTTTATACTTGTAACACTCGCGTTGGAAGTCGACCGTTAGATTTTAAATATATTGGCTTATAAATGGTTATGGACTTGCATTCAAATTTTTACAATTCGCACTGACTTCCAACCGTACCGGGCTCGCATTAGAATACAAACCTAATTATTTTTAATTGAAATATATTGAAATATATATATATTGAAATATTTATAATAAAATATTAATATAACACCTCCAGAAGCGTTATTTCTTCTTTCTTGTTCTATCCTGAACATTCTGTTTTCAGTCTCTATGGTGGATCAATAATGCTTGGCAGTAACTGAATATGATATCAAGTTTGAATCGGATTATAGTAAACTCGTAGAAAATAACAATTGACACTATAATATAACCTGATTAAACCTGCACATTATAGAAATAATAAGAAAATCGATAGTTTGGTGGCCCTAA